ACTAGACAGAGCATGACAAATGTGCAATCACACAAGTATTGTTTGTACTTTAGTTACAAAAAAATTGAATAATGGGAAGTGAACTTCTGCCTCTCAAATCGGCCTTGCATGCGTGGGTGGAACACATGATTGACTCTCCGTACTGTGGTACATCCAGATCACACCAATCATGCAGGTGATCTTCTTTCCCATCCGATTCTTTAGTTTTTGTGGCCCCCATTCGATTGCGGATTCCTCAATACTGATCACCTTCGCTCGTTTTTTTCTTCAAATCTTTCAAATTTCACCTCTTAGTTTGTGAATTCTTGTTCCCTGTTAGGATTAGAATTTTCTGCCCATGTATGCATATGTATACCAATGACTAGTAAACGAGTGTGGTTCAAACGTGAAAACAATAATGGTAGAAAGTAGAATAAGAGGCACCAGTTATAAAAGTGGAACGATGTGAAAAAAAGACCAATAATGAGAATAAAAGAAGCAGGAACAAACGTGGTTTCTTTGTTCGTATCACAACACATGTAAAAGATTGAATGTAGCTTTTTTGCCGACTAAATACGTTTATTAACGTACATTTTACAATGATATCATAAAAAGTAGCATCAGAGTTTCAATGGGCCATTCATTTGGGTTAGTGTTCATGTCACTTGTGCATTGAAGTTTGTTTTACAAGTTGAGATACGATGGAGGAGGATCTTACCCGGTAACTGAACATGATTACCTAATCCAAATATCCTCCGCTTTTTAGTTTGAGCATAAAGCACGAGGAAGGACGAGAAATCGAAGAGGGGAAATCAGACGAATTTCAGCTTTCTGTTGTCTCTCTGGCCTGGGCAATCTAGCAGTATCGTGCACTCGAGCTAATTATGGACATTTTTTCTTTTTAAAAAGGTTATTGTGACGTGGTTTGTTTGTTACACAGTCTGGATTCAGGTATGTGTGAAAATATAGTATATATCTCTTTTGTTTGGTACAACTGACGTTAGTTGGTAACGCTTGTGTGTGATTTGGTTATTTTGTAACTCCAGAAATTGACCGATTAGTCTATCCTATATGTCAGACTATAGGTGGTACATACTAGTTTTTCTGGTCGTTTTTAGCGATCACGTAATCATTTTAATTCATTTGTTGGAGAGAACTGAATCACAACCATGTTCTAAATATACTTCTTCTACATCCAGGATAAGAGCCATTTATTGCTTTGGGTTTGGAACTAAAACGTCACTGTTTCTGTTTTGTACTTTGATAATGCTACATTAATTTATTTTATGCCCCAGCGTGTCCTTCATCAGAATAGTGAACCCTGAGGTCACAATGATCTTCAGTGACGTGATGTTATTGGGTAACCATAGTCATGCGACTGGGAAAGATCGGACCCTAAATGTTCTATTTCGGGTTGCTGCCCAATTGTTGATTTGTGGCACACAAATGTAAATTGGATTTTCTTCCTCCATTATCGGATGCGCGCGCCCTCTTGTACGAACGAGTACTAATCACGTGAACTGGTACCACGAATTTTAGTCGTATTTATCTTTTAGGGACTTTTGCGGTCGGAGATTTACGGCACACAATGCCGCCCGTTCTGATCATCTGGTAGTGCACACCCACACTCGCACACATAACACACGGCTGCGGTAGCCACATTCGGCTGAATGACCAAACGGATGTTGCCGCGGTCAGAACCGTATTTGGCAAGCGAATTCATTTCGTTTCTGTCTCATTCGCACTGACCTGAATTAGTGCAATGTGGTTCTCATTTTCGGAATGCGAACGAATCGGTATTCCGGGTTAACTAATGCACGACCGGGCTCAGATTCCATGCATGTTTTAATCGTAGTGTCACGAGGACCGTGTGATGCGCCCACGTCTTGTCGAGATCACTGTGCTGAAAAACACTGGTACCGGTTCCGCAACTGCGTATGACAAATCCGGGTTTTCTAGGGATAGATTTCTTCAAATGCCGCTTGTCACTGTGCGTGTCCGGATGTGGTTCTTTTTCATATTTCAACACTTAATCAATTACACACAACTGTCAAATGTGCACGAAAAAAAATCTCCAGAATTTGTTCCTAGGTTGTTTGGGCATGCTACTTCCTGGTTGCCCTGATTGAGGAAGAGGGCTAACCCTGGGGTTCTCCACCCGAAGACTTTGGCTAGAGAGCCAGTCTTGCAAGACAATAGGATGAAGCCCACGGTCCGCAGTCCATTGGGGGCTGGTGCGCAGTTCATTGGATCATGCGCCCTTCTGACGGGGTCAGACATCCAAGGTTCTCAATACACCATAATGCTCAGTCGAGCCGGGGACCACTGCCGCAACCAGGAAGATGTGTGTATGGTTCGTTCGACTCTTGGTTGTTTTAGAATCAGTTTTTAGCCCATCCCCCTAGGTGGACCGCGAGTGGTTCATCTACTCCCGGTTATAGCTCCGTATTTTGGCTAGGATGCGGTGTGTGTCTGTGTGTAGATTACGTGTTAAGTGTTCTTTAGCAATTTTTTTAAATCATTGCATTAATGAATTTTAGTTTTTTGCTCATGCTATGCAACTAATAGACAGTATTTACCAACATTTGGGTAAATTATACGTATGTGATTCCACTGCGCCATGAATCGTTCGCTGCCATAAACCAAAATCTATGATCATAACTCCAAGTTTGTAACAAGGAAAACAACTTGACAGGTGCTATCCTCGGGAATCATGCAATATGTTTTCACACTTCATTTTTCTGATTCATCCTCCAAGGTCCAGTTAACTGGTCAGCACCAAACACGAACACAATCCTAACCCAATATGCCACATAACTGCTAAGCTTATAAGGCACTTGGTTGCCAAATAGACGAAAGAAGTATTCTACAGATTTTGCGTGAGATCAGAAATAACTTACTGACTCTGTCTGAAGTCTAAACGGTTGTTTCCGCTAATTTTCATGGCTTCATCTGATTTGCCACCGTAGGTTGTGGGCAATTGGCGACCGCTTGAAAGGATTCGATGTCAAACGTTTTTTTTTCATTTGACTAAACCTACAAACTTGCAGGTGTTTTATTAGGTATACGCCCAACATGCACGGTCACAGAAGCAACAATCGTTAGCCAACATAGGTATATTCATAGGTTTCTTGATCGCCTTTCGTAGGTTTCATTCATCAGCTGATCGACCGTTAGTTCGTCAATCATACTGGTCGAAGTACCACAGTACTGGACTAGCTTTGGTTTCTACTACGAACATTATGGTGACCATTTCGTACGGATGCAACTATGCTTGCATTCCTCCGCATCCACTCAAACTAGATTGATAATAAATTCGGCCAATGTTTTATTCCAGATTGTTTCTGAAAATCTCTTAACCGGTCGATAGCTGCATTGTGTCACAACAATATCTGTGCACTTTCTGTATGTGTGTGTGTTATGGATTCAGCGAAAATAAATAAGCTTTCAGTCGACAGGTTTACCCATGGGATCGTGGAAACTTGTCAATCATTGGCAAAAACAACATTTGTGAGGGGGAGAAAATAACGGAATGGTCGAGCGAGACGGGCATGCATTGGGAAATTGGTTTCCACGGTTGAACACCCAACTCACTGTGTTTACTCACTGTCTGTTGTCCGACCGCTCAGATCCGTACAGGCCAGAAGTGGCTAGAAGCAAAGAATAGCAAAACTATACCGAAATGTACAGCGGATAGAAAATACCGTGCGGTCCATGCGTATTTTTCGGTGCATTTCTGATAATCATTATGCTGTGATTTGCCAGACAGTCAGTAGAATGAACATCTTGGAGTTTTCCACCCACAGACATTTATTTTTGTTACGGAATGGGGAAAAATGTTTATAGCATCTCTTTATGATTGTTGGTAACTGAAATGAACACGCATGAACCGCTGGGACAAAAATCAAGTTGTCCAGCAGTATGATCGACACTTCATAACTCCGTTTTTTCCTCCAAAGCCTAAATGGTTTTTCCCGGCATTTTTGGGTCAAACATCAATGTGTGGACCTCGTTCATTGTTTCTTTGTTTGTCAGATTCGCATCCGGACGAAATTAGATACTCAGATCATTGATTTCAATACTTCTGTTTGGCTCAGCTTTTGTTTGGATTTCGATGCTCACTAAAGCATATGAAGACACCATCATCTTGCTATGATAATAGAGGCTTGCGTGTCTTATCAGTTTTTTGTAAGAGGTGCCCATCGACCATCATCGACTACAATGATTCCGATTTGTCCATCCGGGGAGCCCAGCGCTTGTCTCGTGGTCTGAGTTTTCATACCCTCATTCGAAGTCTCCGTTCGTCTTCCACTCATCACCTGACTTGACAAATAACGCGCGCCTTGGCAATCTAAATGGGGACACGTGTAGCACATGACTCAACCAGCGTAGTCTACGGATGTCTAATTGCTCCAGCAGGCGACCGCTATCCTCTAAACTTCTGCTTGTCCGGTTCTCCTACCAGATTAGTGCAGTGTGACGTAGAGAGTGGTATTTGAATATTGACAGTCTATTTTTATCTTGTGATCGTGACACCGAATTCTCTGTGGGGCATAGTAATACTGTCCGAACTGCTGCATCACACACTCAACCCTTTGCAGACAGCCGATTGGTGGGACGGTGCTACAAATATCTTATGTTGGCAAACCTCCATCGAGCCTTCTATATGCGTGCCGATACTTCGTCCGTGTTGCGTCCACCGTGTGAGATGTAGCTACTCCGGTAGCTAAGTTCAGGCTGAGAGCTAAACTAACGCAGTCTGCCATCAGTGACTAATAGATGCTGCTATACTTGCACAAGGACAGGGTTGTTTCCATCATCAAATCAATAACGAAGTTAAAGTGAAAAAGAAAGAAAATTCAACCTTGTATAATACCGCTTTCCACGGTAAATCTGTTCGAATAAATGCTGTAAACACGAACTGGACTTCGAATATCAGTATAAAGGGACCGTAACATTGAAGGAAACTTCTCGGGCATATCCTTCGGGAAAAGCGATCAGTCAAGTCGAAAGCCGCTTTTGAATCGAGTAAGCTAGAAATGATGGGTCTGTTAAAAGCATGTCTGTGTTCGAGGATTAGGCGATTAGTGAAGATCGAGTCTAAAATCGACCTGGTTCTCATGTGTGTGCCGCTAACGTGTGACAGACAGTCGACGGAGTATTATGGCCACGGGAAGAGACAATGTTAGTCAAACTATTACACCAGAGGATCTTTCACTTTTCTGAAAATCGGTAAGAGGACCAACTCACACCTCTCAGTTGAACCTCGTAACCTTTTCCACGTTGAGCCATGGAGTTTCGCCTACTCCAAAACTATGGCTGAATCTCCATCCCTAAAATCCGATGAGAATCGCCCATGTAGGCTGCAAGTTATACGTTTTAGATCGTGTCTTTTCCGGAAAACCACCATTTCATAATGAAGACTGATATCGGCTGACAATAGTTTGTCCGCGAATCCACAGAACCGCTATCCGGGACCTCCATTCCGTTCATCCTTAGCTGAGGGATTCATGTTGTCTGTTTAACTGAAAGCTGAAGTGCTTCATTGATCTGGGTACTGTCCCCGAACAGATGCTCAGTGTTTAGTATGATTATCTCGAAATTAATTGCTTTTCTGATGCGTTCTACGTGGTTTACAATGAACCGAAGATTAGCGGGTGCATCACCCGTAGATTTCGATCGGATCTTGAATTCGGGTTCGTTGCGTCACACGAATGGATTTACTATATTGTTTTATCGGTAACTTCGTTTTTCCGAATAAACGTTGGGTGCTGTTTTGTCTATAATTCGCTTAGGCTCATTGTACACCGCATAGGAGATGCATCCTATGGTAGGTTTAGGGCACCAGTTAGTCAGAATGATAGACCAGATAAAGCCCCAAACAGGTTAATACTCTTATCCCGCTTCCTAGCTTTTCGGTTGATGTTTCATTGGTTCTGTTCTCGACAAACTATCCTATATTATCTCAACTTTCGCTAAAAACGTGGATAACTGTTATACGAGCTGATCGCTCCAAGATGTATCCGTGTAAATACATGGTAGCTTGATATGCTGATTGGTGAGTATAGAATCTCTGCACAGAGGACAAGTGAATTTTATGATGAAGCATTTATTTTTCTCTGGATTGAAATCCTCGCATGACCTGTGGCATGAATATTTTCACAATGTTCGTCTCATCCCTCTTTGTTTGATGCAGAGATCGGGAAAAGGCGGAGATCTATTGGAAACGCTATTTATCAATGGACAATAGTGAAATTGTTGGTGAGTGGGCCGAAAAAATTGATGTTTTTTCTTGTTCAAACTGCATGCATTTGCGTTGGTGTTGTTCCTTTCCCCTGTTTACTTTAGTCTAATGCGACCAGCGTATTGTTACCATTGGAAACCAACAGTTGGATCAATTCGTTTGAAACCCAGCTCCTTGATTTATCACACAGAAAGCTTGTGGTTACTTCTTGGCATTTATGTATCCCAT